GCCCACGGGCCACATGCAGCCTGCCTAGGACATTTATCTGGCCCACTGGGTGTTTTTGCTGCTGCTGCCTGTCCTGCTTAGTAGCCGACTCATCCCAGGGCCCACAGTCCGGCCCTCTGTCCAATGGTCTGAGGGACAGTGAACTGGCCCCCTGTTTAAAAAGTTTGAGGGCCCCTGCTCTAAAGGATACCTTCTCCTGAATATCCTTCCAAAATCTCAACATCAATAAGCACAAATTGAAATCAATCATCCTCCCCCAATCCTTGTTACTCTGCTACCTGGTAAATGGCACCACCAAATTTCCCAAACAAGAAATGACAAGAAATGTTAAGTCATTCTAGAGTTTTCCCTCTTTATCTACATATTGAAATGATCTCTAGACCACACTAATTCTCCAAAACAATAAAGCTTCTTTCCTTTTTAAATATGACCCACACCCTATTTTTTTTCTTAAGCATGAGCAGAGTTCAGAAAAAGATAAAGAATACCTGCTCTTGTTAAGTTAAGAAGAATAAAAGAAGTGCTATCACTTGGCTGTAGATCTTGCAACAAGCTAGAAGACTCAGGAGTAGACAAAAACTCTGTTGACTTCTGGACAGCCTGGGCCCTCGTCTCCTCTCCGTCTGGGCCCACATTCACCTGAAGGCTTCTCAAAACAGCTGAGGAAGGGACCTCCTTGGAGGAGTTAGTGTGATTTGGAGCATCATCTAGTAGAGGGAAAACAACACAACTTTAAGTGTCATCTAACTCCCAGGGGCTCATCATTTTGATACATAAAACCTAATGTCCTTGTAACATCCCTCAGTATCTAACATCCTTGCAAGAGCAGACACCGTTCCGTGCTCTTTTTAAAAACATAAAATATGCCTCAGAGAAGAACAAAGATAGCTTTAAGTTCTAGAGGCTATCAGCCAAAATGTGAAGAATGGACTGTTCTGACAGCAGTAACTAATAACAAACATTCACATTGGACATTATGGAATTTAGTCCTTTCTGAGGCAAGAAAACAGTACAATGAATAACTCAAGAACAGGATCTAACTTTAATTTTTTTTTTTGAGACAGAGAATCAAACTGTCAACCTGGGTAGAATGCCATGGCGTCATAGCTTACAGCAACCTCCAACTCTTGGGTTCAAGCGATCCTCTTGTCTCAGTTTTTCTAGTTTCAGTAGATATGGGGGTCTCACTTTTTTGCTCAGACTGGTCTCGAACTCCTTAGCTCAAGCAATCCATCCACTTCAGCCTCCCAGTGCTAGGATTACAGTCGTGAGCCACGGCACCCAACCGTAGTTTACTTTTCTTACTCCCTTAACTTTTATATGTATGTAATAGTTGGGGTGAGTAATTAGGTGGGAAAAAAAAACACAGCCTAGAAAGCAATTAAAATTTTACAGAATCATCAATATGTTTCATTACATTTCTAGGTTTATACTAGATATAGAGAAATAATTCAGAACACAGGACTTCAAGAAATCTGTTCTGGCTCAGCGCCTGTGGCTCAAGTGGCTAAGGCACTAGCCACATATACCTAAGGTGGCAGGTTTGAATCCAGCCCAGGCCCGCCAAACAACAATGATCGCTGCAACCAAAAAATAGCCAGGCATTGTGGCAGGTGCCTGTGGTC